CATACAGACAGACAGGCAAACATTCAGCTTTATATATAAGATTAAATACGTTGATGACCTTAAATGGGTGTTATCTGAAAGAGAACAATATATTCTAATACCTATCAAAATTGGAAAGTTCAATCACTTTTTTTTCTTGAGAAATCTACAGTTATTCTCTTGTCCCATTTTTTACCGTTCATCCTAGTACTTTACTCGGTGCGGCTGACTGGCTCGATTTTGCAACGCTGCAGCTGCCACTGCAAGCTCATTTGTAAATGCTTTCTCTGGTTGCAATCAGCTGATTTTGTTTGAATAGACGTCACTATGGGCGTTGTCAAGTTGAAAGTGTGGGATTGCAAAACGAAATGATACCAAAAATGCACAAGTGTTGTAGAAAACAGGCTTGCATTCCAATTCATGCTGTGTCATTTTCAACTAGCATGAGAACTTTACTGAGCCAACAGTTTGTTCTCACTTGTTTGATACCTTCTTGCGTAACTTCGTTGCGACATTTGTTCGTCGCATGTTATGCTATACCGATCCGTGTCGAATCAGGTGATATAGGTGCCAAATCGTGAAAGTCGGTGAGTTTGCTGTCATTGCACATGCAGGACTCCACAAGGCTTCAAACTCATTGAACCCTGTACAGTCGAGTCATTTCAAATGATCATGTGTACATTGCACACATCGTCCATCTTTGGCGTCCTCCTCCTGGGAAACGCAAGAGACTGATCGAATGTTATCGCTTACATCATTTTGAAGTAATAGTAACTAAAAAGGAGAGGAAACGTTAAAAACACCGAAAAAGCTTAGCGGAAGGGTTGTCTGCTCCAAGAATTCGAGGATGGGGACGCCAAAGGTGACAGTGTGTGCAATGGCACACATGATCATATGAACTGATTCGACTGTACCCTTCAGGGGGTAAGGGACTATAATGTCGCCGAAAATGGAAGGCCCCGTCGGACATCTGCGACAAATACACCTCCTAATACATGCACAAGCTGAGTATCTGCTGCATTGTTTGCACGGAGCCCTGGCACTTTCGGCGACATTTAGTCCTCTACCCTGCTCCAGTGGTCGTATTCATCAACGAACCCACTGGGTTCCGCTACCCAGTGGGTAAGCGAAAACAATGCCACTGGGTTGGATCGATTCATAAAAAGCATTGCTGGGTTCGCGAACCCACTAGCTTCGTGAATACCGATCTCGTGGGTTAAGCCTACCCAATGGGTTCCGGAACCCACTGGGTTCGTTGATGAATACGGCCACAGGTAGCAACTCTGATAGAAGAGTGTTTGATAGGTGCGAGCAAGGTCCACAAACTCGCCGACATTCAAGATCACGCAGAGCCCTAAACTCGCCGCGCGCAGGCCACCGCAAGCAGTCGCAAACATACGCAACTCAGACATTCGTGGTTGAGTCCCGCAAAAGTCCTCTTACAATATGAAAATGGAGGTAAAAAAGGTAGCCTCGAAACCCGATTTTCGCGAACTTAGAACCGGGCATATATCACGCGATTTCATCGTCCCGCTCTAAGGCTTGAGATATACTTGACGATGGGTCGCTATAGCTGACGATAAGACGCTGCCAGCAGCAACGCCTTTTATGCGTATCGATTGACGCCATGCAACGCTGCTGCTTGGAGGGCGTGCAGGAGTTCCTAGCACTTTTCCTCGCACTAAGTTCGCACCAGCATTCGCACCCAGGAGTGTTCTAGCACCTCCATGCCTCGGAGGTCAGGCCCGCCCATTGCTCTACCCATTTACTACTCTCATTGTGAAGTGCGAGCAGCGAGAACATAGATTCAGGTATTAGGTTAATAAGAGAGAAACGGAGAAAAAACGAAGAATAGTTGTCATTTCTCAAATGAAATTTCCGCTGTACCATTAGAAATGAGCATCCATTATTCTCAAAGATAAATTGCACAGGATTTTTTTGAATACGAAACCAAGTCATTCGTAAAATTAGGAAATCTAATTGTCCAATTTTGAAGTACTGGTCATATAATTGAAGTAAAGCATCAGTTTTGAAATGAGTGACCAGAAGTGGTTAAGAACCCGATTACCTTCTCAGCAAGAAAAGGACCTATTGAAAGGGGCATAGCAATATTTCGAACAACCAACCTGACGCTTTCCCGGTGGTTAGGTACTTTCGTACTTTCGTCTGCCATCTATTCGAGTGAATTTCTCATTTTAACTTTGAGGACCAATTAGATCAAAATTATCAAAAAGAAATTTTCATGTGCAGAAAGTCCTACAATCGATGTGCTAGAATACCAAACTTCGGTCGCATGTATATTGAAGAGTTGGCTAATTCCAAACAAAACACTAAATTTGCAAGATCCCAATTCACTATTTCTTACAATTAGATAAAGTTTAGAACTTGCGGAAATTGACTAACTTCTCGATCATATATTGTGATTGGAAGATTCTGAGTTCTTGACTTATATCAATACTATATGCTTCACAAAAGTACTCAAGCACTGCAGCGCGAGCACTTGCTTTTCAAGGAAGCATCATTTCTTTCAAAAACATGAGTAGAACATAACTTGAATGCTGGAAATGCTTCAGTCATCTACGGATTCTAAACCTTATGAGAACCTAGCTTTTTTGTTTCTCGATTTCAGTTCTATTGTCCTCAATTACAATGAAGCACGTCTTACAGTGCTGTACACAATTCAGAATGAGGGCACCCAGAGGGAGGAGTGATGGGCGGAGCCGTTTGCCCTCGAGGAGGTGTGAAATCCTTCAAGAGAGTTTTGGAAGTGCCAAGTATCCCTCCAAGGAAAAGCGGCGAGGCTTTGGGAACTCTTGCCACGCCGCCCTGCTGCTTCTGGCTGCTGCAGCGAACGCGATACAGACCCGCTATAGCTGGCGATGCTGCGCTGCTCTGCGCTGCTGCTTGCTGCTCGTAGCTGCTCCTCGCTGCTACGCGATATGAAGCTCACTTTTGGTGAGCTTCTCTCAGCTGCTTCACGCTGCTAGCGCTGATTTTGCTCGGATTTGCCCGTTTTTAACATCCTTTTGAACTTCTTCTGAAGGATTTTTAGAGCGCTTGTTGCGTTACTGAACTGTGACAAATTTGCAAGACCAAAACGCAAATGCTTCGTTAGGAAAATTAACAGAGAATTGACAAAGTGAACGAACAAATAAATATATAAAAAAATATAAATATAAAAAATATAAAAATAAATATGAAAACCGCACAAAACTTTTGCGAAGAATCAAATTGGATTAACAAAAAATTAGAAAATTTACGATTTAGTGGGATGTTACCAGTACACCTCAATACATTAATGGCAGCTATGACCTAGGTCGTTCGGTTTTTGCCTCAAGCACAAATCAAGATTCTACTGCGACACCGCTTAAATAATGGTAATGATTATTTTCTCAGTACTAGTGCAACATTTGGTTTGCAACTGTATTCTTCTTGAAAAGATTTGTTGATGAGAACAGGATGATTTTTTTGGAACATGTAATCATATTCTTCAGTTTTTGATAGTTCTCAAAACTTACTTTCCTAATGGGCTAAGCTAAGCGTAGTAATGGGTAAAGCTACTCGTTCTTGCACCCAAAGCGTATCCAGCGCAGCAGCCACGAGCAGCTAAAGGCAGCGCAGACATCAGCGATTCGCCAACACCCGCTATACCTCTATCGTCAGGTATATCTCAAGCCTAAGGTCGGGACAAAATCGATTTCGAATAAGACTACCTTTTTTCGTGATTTTCATTTTGTCAGCGGACTCTTGCGGGACTTAAACACGAATGTCTGAGAATCAATGGGACGTTATTCATCCATCTCCTAATGTCTGATCGGGCGGAGATTTACCAATAAGCAAGCGCCCGGTTGGGCGATCAAGCTTTGGATAAGCTAAAACAGCTCCTAATTAGATACAAGAAGATACAAGATTTCTGGCATACTGTCCCAGGCGTCTGTGAGAGTTTCAGCGCGAGAGCTGTTAGGGTCAAGCTTTCAGGCACAACAAAACGACTCGCCCTCTCTTCAATGTCCAACTTTCCTTCTTCCTCCTCTTTACTTCCTTGAGCAGGTGCCAAAGTAAGCGAATGTTTTGTTCAGCTTCGTTCAGCTGCAAAAGGCGCGCACAATTAATGTCTGCTGCATAATCTCTACTGCTGCCAAGGCCTGCTTCAGCTGCAGGTCCCGCGCGGAATCATCGTTAATTCTGTGCGCCTTTTGCGACTGAACGAAGCTGAACAAAATATTCGCTTACTCTGGCACCTACCTTGACAGCCGCACCCGGTTTTCTGCTATCGCGCTTCACACACCCAATTTGACGGCGGATTTGAAATCAGTTTGCGCTTCTTGCAACAAGGAAAGAATCCCGAGTTGCACAGGCGTTCTGAATCGAATGAAATGCATGTGGTTTGATGTGTTGTGATATTCCAAAACTGCTTTCCATATCTGCTGCGAATCTCTAAGAGAAGTTTGAACTTCTGAAAATGCGCAGCTGGTGGGGACTAATCCGTAATGTAACTATCATTTATTCTATGACCAGGAGACACGAGACTGCATTGCGGACATTGTCTTAACAAGTTCGGGTTTGTTCTTCCCTGTTTACAAAGAGTGAATAAACCTGGACGAGATAAATAACAAGTATAAACCTGCTGAGTACAGATTAAGCTTGTTTAGACAATGCGTGCAATGCGGTCTCGAGTCTTCTAGTCGCAGAATGAATGATACTTCAAAGTCTAGCTTGGGAAAGTGTACCTGGCATGGTTTTGAGTATACAATCACATATACCACCATAAGTGGTCTTGGACCGCTACTTGTAGACTGAGTGTTTGTCATCAGGGTTCTCGAACACCCAAATCTTCTTCTACATAATTAATCCTGAGATGCAGAAGCTGACAAGGTGATTGCCTATATGAAGAGCTATTTTCTTGTATTTTCTCTCGGCTTTGGTTCAAGTTCAAAGGTTATAACTGAATTGATTTTTGGTCATCTGCTAGACGATATATCGGTCGTATATAATAACGTGAATCATTGTCAAAGTTTCAGATTCGAGCTGCAAGGGCGGGAATTGAAAACCTCGTCATACCAGATGATAAAGCGATTGAGAAAGCCTACAAAACCGCTCGTGCTTCTGATGGTAAGCATTTAATAACTTTGATGATTTCAGTCAGAATCAGAAGACAAATTAATACTCAGCATTCTGTTAAAAAGAGTGGTTGCACTAAAGTCACGTAGGCATAAGCTCAAAAAAGTGAGAAGGGGTTTTCTGTTTCTTCTTTCGTAATCCCCCATGCTAAAACATACATCCGGAAGGTTGTCTGGACATTTTCCAAGCAAAAGATGTTCTCAAAAGACATCAATTGTAAATCAAGCCATGTTCTGCCTTTTTACAAACGTGTAGACGAAAACATCATTTGTAGCAGAAATAATGAAGGAAAACGAGTCTCAAGAAGGTATTTGAACAACAATTCTCATACCTCCTGAATCTGTGGCAGTTTAGATTATTTATAGGTGGAGCAGCGAATCGGTCGCCAATAAGGGATCAGAGTGGAAATATCGTCAGTTGGCGAGTTGGCGAATTGGAATGGGAGGCTTGGATGCGGGTTTTGGATCATGCTGTACGTTTCGCTTTTGATTTTATCTGAGCGTGATGTGGATTAATGCTTATTGTACTTCTCTTCTTGATTGCAGGGGTTTCGCACGGGTCATATATACCGGCAGCCTTCGCTGCGACCAAAATCGGCAATGTCGCATTCAACTGTGAATAACAACGATGTAGCAGTTCCTCCAAGTGCTTCTGCCATAGGAATGGTGCGTTGTACAGGTTGACGTCTATTTCAATAAGTTTCGCAAACGTTGTTATGCTGCTAATTAGTTTTATGTTATGGCTTCTTAGTTTTTCTTTCTGCGCTGTATCAAAAAGTTTGCAATGATTTAGTGAGATTTCTCGACATTTAGCTGGACGAGAGTGATGCGGAAGCGGTTGCTGCCCACAAACTAGCTCTCTTGAGAAAAGAACAGGAAAGAAGTCGCTGGCTCAACAGTCCCAATGCTTACCAGAAGGTAGAAATCCTCGAAACTGGAACTGATAATCCTAAGAAAATCACAAAGGTGGTTGATGCTTTGCTTTCTTTTTGCCAAAGTCGCATACTGTCTTATTTAGTGGGTACAAGATGCTACATCCCCATCAGCCAGTGGCACGCCCGTCAAGATAAACATGCCTCACCACTTTAGTCCGATGTCGAGCAATCCAAAAGAGTTCAAAGACAAGCAACGGGCTATAAAGGTCTTGTTTCGCAAAGTCGATTTTCCAGTAAGCTGCTATTTTCAGGAGAGTGGAAGACTAGGAACCACCACCGCTGGCCCACAGAGCCAAATACTCGACGGTGTTACATATGAAGAGATAGCCAAAATGCGGGTAAGCTTAGTCTACCCTCGCAGGATTGCGTACACGCTGGCCCAAATTTCAGCCCGATGTTGATGGCATTGTTGGTCAGACAGACAGGACAGTTCTTATCGGTACTGCTAGTAAAGGAATCATTGACAGGCAGCATCAGCACAATGCTCAGGTAAGCTTGTGGTTGATAGTTTTTTGGGCCTACGCGTAATACCTGATGACTATTGGGCTACTGCGCTGAACGTTGCGAGGTCCGTACGGCTTTATAACGTTGTTTCCATTTTCTTTTCTTTTTTTTTCACTCTTTAAATGGATATCTGCTACGATTTCACCTAGAAAGGTTGCTCTCTCAAAGCATCAGTGATGCTTGTAGCTACCTTGATCTGCGCGTGAGGGGACATCCATAGGTTGCCGGCAGAGGTTGTTAGAGACCGCATAACGCCCAGAGAGTACTATAAGGTCCTACAACAACCTCACAACCGTTGCTGACAAACTATGGATGTCCCCTTACGCGGAGATTTTACAAGGTAGCTATAAGCATCACTGATGTGTTTGCAGAGAGCAACCTCTCTATGTAAAATCGCAGCAGATATCGGTTTGGGGAGTGAAAAAAGACAAGAAAATGGAAACAACATCATAAAGCAGTACGGGCCTCGCAACGTTTAGCGCTCAAATAATCGATCCTGACGTTACTTTGGATTTGAATTGATATGATGTAACTTTAAGGTTTATCGTCAGCTTTATGCTCCTAATCCATTTGCTTGCGAAACTGATGAGGACATCAAGAAGTACATGGAAGAGGTGAGGGTTTTTCTCCTGTTACTATCATGTCAAGAAATGTTAGCTCTATTTTTGCTGCAGGTTGAATTGAAGTCGCCAAAATCCCGCACTCCCTGTTCTTCTGCTAGAGATAAGTCTCTGGAGCGTTCGCAAAGAACGTCAAGTCCTTTTGAAGAAGATCCTGGAGCAGGTAGAATTTCTTCTATACTTATTTTTCTGCTACTTTGGTGGAGCAGTCGCATGCGCATTATTTTGTTCATTCTTCCCTATATTACTTTGCAGTAAGTGATCACAGTGAACACGTGCAATATGAATGCTAACTGTTTTAGACACGGCTTCGCTGATGCAAGCTGCCCGTGTTCACCGAACGTCGGACAATGCTAAAACGAGTGCTTCTGCTGAAGGCCTGGATATTCTTCCCGAGACTGCCGCAAATGTTGAAAAATCTCTAACAAACGGTACGTTCTTTTCTCTTTTTGCAAATCCTCACCTTAGCTTCGACCTCCGGTTTAAAAAGGTCGCTGCGGTGAGCGTTTGTTGGGTTTGTCTACCGTACCTTTTCCAATACCTGTAACTCTGTTGCTTTTGTGATGCTCCCATCTATCGTCGAATAGTTTCTTCGTAGCATTCTGTATAATCGAACCCACAATCCTATATCTTAGTCCCCGTAGTAAGTAGCTGTTGTGAATCTTTCAGTCAGGAGTATGCCCGACTCGACACGCAGTCATACACAAAAAGGGAGCCTAACACTGGATATGGACTGTAAGTGTTGTGATTGGAAAAGTTTTGTAAAATCTTGCCCAAATAATTGTAAATCATTAAAAGTCGGTTTGATTTTATGGCTATACCAAGAACTTGACAAGAACGCCGTAGCTCCCTGCTTTTTGTTAACTTGCCTGCATCCCTGCTTACATCATTTCCTTGTAAAGTTCTGCTGTGTTGTGATGATTGTTGTGTAACGTGTAGACCTCGAAGCTCGACGGAAGCTCGACTTGTCCACCTTCTTCCGGCGTACAAAGAGCGAACGCAGTACGACCTATCCCCTTGGTTGGTTTCTTTCCCTTCCATCTCATATATAGTCATTCTCAAGGTCTCTCGGAGTATGCAAAAATCTGTTATAGTTTAGTTTAAAATAACCGGGCATCTGACAGGCTTGCGAATGACTGTATTTTCATTATGCATGCTCTCCTTGGGTGTTCTCTTTGTCTGTGCATTGCTGTTCTCCATTCGAATTTTTCTCAACTTCTAGGGAATTCCTCAGCTCGGTCAAACGCCACCATATCTGAGGATGAGGTGAGTTCTCGAATTTAGCTTTTGGAGTATCCGCAGTTGCGCTGGTAGCTATCGGTTCAAGTTGCATGCTCATTATTTGAGTACCTGTTTGAACCATTGAGACTGATGATAACACTGTAGTTGTTATAACGATCACTAGGCACCCCCCCCCCCCAAGTATCCTTTGTCGATGAGTTGAACAGAATTGCCGGCTAATCATAAAGCAAAAATTTTGGCTGGATCTCTGAGTGCGAATGTAGACAGCTTCCTCTTGGTTTTCGTCCTGTTTCCGCTCAACATTGTCACTATACTCCATGTATGGTTTGGCGATGAGCATTATAGCAAGATACGAGACATGCGATTGCGCGTGGATCTTATAGAACGTCTCTATGCTGTCAGTATAGTCTTCGGCCGGAGGAAGATGCGCAGCTTTGAGCACAGTTGAGCGGGCGCGAAAGCAGCGCTAGGCAGCTGCGTCGTTGTGAATGACATTATACGGCCGTACAGGTGAAAGAAGAATTCGTGTCCACGGGTTGCGCGGGATAAGGGGACTATATGCCGCCGATAGGCTCCATCCCTGCGCAGCCAGGGGTACAAATCTGTGTACTCTGCAATACGTATGGCTACGTAGTGTGTCGCAGATGTCCGCTTGGACCACCCCTTTCGGCGACAGATAGTCCTCTAGCCGATTGCGCGCTTTCGTCCGGCAGTAGACCTTATCTCAATGCGGACAGCATCGCGCGCGACACTGCGGCGGCTGTTGCCGAAGAAGATGCAAGAGTGTCGCCTGTTAGAATGTTGAGCAGTAGGGATGACTCTCACCCCCGTGACATCCGTGCAAGTTGTGTCTGTAATGCACGTTGTACTTTGCCAAGACCAAATTTTTTTGAGGAATGGCTCATAAAGTCATTCAGGGGGTAATAAACAGTCTAGTGATCCATATATTTCTGATCACTACGCGGTTACGCGTGTTACATTTGAAGGTCACGGCTCCCTTCTCACAGATGATTATATATAGATTCAAGCAGTTGGCTGACTAGGGTCAGTCATGTCATTATCCTTGTTCTTTTTGAGAGCGTGCATTATGAACCGATAACTGACTTGCACATAAGCTCCTGTCTCACATCCTCACAGATTTTCGGAATGATGCTTTAACATTCAGGCTTCATCCAGAGGCGAGAAAAAGAAGAAGAAGAAAAGTTTATTTTCATTTATGAAGAAGAAGGACAAGTCCACGTCATCATAGTTGGTTTGTAAGGCGCACTAACCTCGATACGAGTATCCGGTGTTCTTCTGTCAATGGCTACGTTGCTTTCTGTATCGTCCCACTTCTACTTTCAGCTTCTGACTCACATACTTGTTTTACGAAAATACTTACATTTATTGCAGTTTTTAAGGCTCTAGTACGCTACATTTTGTCTGTTATTTGTTGATTTTCTCAGATCATCCTTCACGTCGCCGCGTTCGAGTTGAAACGTACGTCTGAGCTCTGAAGGCGTGCGCATTATATACTCAGCAAATCAACGTCGCTAGCTGGACCGTACATGCTGTCATTGTAGTAATACTCACTCATTTTTTTCGTAACCTGGAGAGATTGTTTGTAGGAGATCGTCATATCCACTACTTTGACACAGTTATTCTCTTTTCGAGGAGTATTAGCAAAATTCTCATATCGCACTTTCTTAATCCTTCTCCGTAGAGCAACATATAGTGTCGAAATTATCTTCATAGTGCGTCCGAAAAGCGTGCAACTAGGACCAAGGCATGTGGAAGGTCTACGCTGAAGTTTCATATCCACGGTGAGGAAAACGGTGCGCAAAAATTTCTATGATTAGCTTAGGCTTTTGTGTGCAAATGTTGTGATCAGTTCATACTAAACGAAATAATTGAACTGTTTGTTTTTATTCCGGGTTGGTTTCCATTTTCCATAGGCATTGTTTATATTGTGCAATTCCGTAATTTTACATTCTATCCCTTGCACTATTTTCTCATGAATACTTGCACTTCCATTCTCTTTCGCCTAATATTGAAAAATTCTGCTGTATGCGGATCATAATTTTTATCCCAGAGTTTTACAAGCTTCGGCTTCACGCAGCTTTTACGGATCGTATAATTTGGCTCATGTCATTTCACATGATTTTTTCCCTTTATTTGTGATATATTTATATCAAAAATTTGTCGTTACCCTCCCAGTTACATACTTGTGATTTTCTAATTTTCTGTTGTAGTCAGACCTGCTGGTGCGTTTGTGTGCGTCCTATGCGACTGAGCAGATCTTCCAATAAATATCATGTTAACTTGCATTGCACACAAGATGAAGACTCGTTGCTATAGAACGAGGTTAATATCTAAGATGTGGAATTGAATTATCCTGGATTACAGTGTCATTTTATCTCCGTACTGAATTCATCTTTTGATTATACTGTGGATTTCTTCACTCTCTTCCGCCAGGGTTTCAGCCAACAGAAAGTTTGACCAAGCGATTCTCTTTCGTTGCCATCTTTACTTTGCTACACGCTAGAATCGTCATGTAAAGAACATTGTTTGAGAGGGTGCGTCTAGAGACTGTACTAAGCAAAACTTGGCGATCATTGATATTGGTACCATAACGTCTTTTTCACCCATTTTAAACAGCAGAAAATGATTTTTTGTATGCTGATGGAAATCTACCATATGATGACAAAAACCCGATCAAAGTTGCCATTTCGAGACAAATTTTGGCAGCTAACTATTCCTATCCCGTGCTCTTGTACGGTGCCTATAATTCAAGAATGAAGCGAAGTTCTCATAATCCAAAACTTCCGAAAATTCAATCACATCGTCAATAGAGCTATTGCAAATGGCCTTCAATAGGATTTCGTGTCAACAAACTTTATCTCGAAGATCAGTCTGAAAAGAAGCGAAATCTTTTGCAGACTGCAATTGGCTACATAAACAGTGCTGAAGACATTTACCTTCACATTACAAAACGCTCCCACTTTTACGACACGAAATCTGCGGTATTGGAACATGAACAGTTGTAAAAAAAAATTTGGTTGCGTATGTGGATTTAAAAAGTCGTTTCTATTTTCGCGAAGCCTACAGTTCTGGAACTCTTCAAATCATAGTCGGTGAAGTCCAGCAAATGTCAGAAATGAGGCTTCTATGGTGTGCCATTTTGGACTTATCTGCGATACAATGTTCAGTTGTTTGTTGTTTGAAACTAGTTGCTGCGCTAAGTTATATTGAATATTAGGTGGAAGAAAAGAGTTTTTGGACGAAAAACTTGTTGTCTGTCTTATGCGTTCCCATCTTAGATTACAAAATCCCCTTTCTGTCTCTTATGTTCTCTCGCCTTGAAAGAGAAGGTGGAAGAAACGGTGCACCATCAGCATAGTGTTAAGACAATGAGATTACGTCATATTAGCGCGAGTCTTTGGTCCTCGTTTTGTAACGCATGGCACAAACCCGTGTCCGCTCCTTTCATGTGAAAAAACTTAAGGTTTTTGATCACTTCCTATAAACAGATTAATTTATGCATTTTACTGCGAAGACAACGGAACATCTTAGTGTCCTCCGAGCTCGGAAAGCACTGCTTAGGATCACAAGTGCTATCTAACAATAAGGCGCACACTTCAAAGTAGTGCTGAAAAGAACCCGTAAGAGATTAACTGCATTTGCATTAGTATTCGAACCATTCACATGAATTCTGAAATATGCAGAAGTTGCCTCATCTCTTTGGCTAAGTTTGCCTAAATACAGTGACCGCCAAAAAGTTGCGGACAAGCCTCCCTCCCTTTTTCATCGCTCTTTTTCAGAAGGAAAACAAGGATAAAAAAATGTATTAAATGCATGTGGTGATAGAGCTCTTCAAGATCTACAATCTACACTTTGCGTTTTTCGAAAAAACATGTATTCTAAAAATTTTAAAAAACTTTTTCTGAAAAAAGTCGGAAAATGGCCGCGTCACAATGTCGCGGACAATAATTCTTCGAACGCAAAAATTTTTTTTGAGTCCTGTTCTGAAGCGGAAACACAAGTAATCCAAACGGGTAAGCATACTACTATACGGAGCTCGTCAAGAACTACACACTGGTTATGGTTGCTTCCCAGAAAACACAAGCTTGAATTTTATTTTGCTTCTTTTCAAAAAACAACTTCTAATTCCCTGCTTCAAGCCAAATTTCTTCACATGGGAAACCATGCAAGACATTCAAACAAAGCTATTCGGATAAAATGGATGCCCTTTGCCATTTTCTATGCATCGGACGTATGCTGGTGAGTTTCTTTGTTGAAAATGGCTTTTGACAGTGCGTGCACATGACCCCACCTGCACCTCACCACTGACTTGTATCGCTTTGCAGGCTTGTAACTCGGCTTGTAGTCAATTTGTGGGCCTGCAATTAGGCTCATTCGAAAGAACGAGACTTCCTCTACACATGATATGCAAAAGAGATGGGTGTAAGAAACAGCGGAGATTTGGCGGACGGGGTGGAAAAACGAGGCCTCCGTGGTAGGGTGAGGATATCCAGCTAAAGTTGAATAGAGCTTCTTTCGCTACCAGTTCAATCCTGGAAGTTTAAAACTGTCAATGTTCTTGTAATAGATCCATTTTGAAGCTCTAGAACTGTTTTGGTGTTGATAAGAGCCCTCACTCCTACCACCACTGAGGCCGCATTTTTCCACCCCATCCGCCAAATCTCCGCTGTTTCTTACACCCATCTCTTTTGCAAATCATCGTGTAGAGGAGGTCTCGCTCTTTCGAATGAGCCTAATTGCAGGCGCACAAATTGACTACAAGCCGAGTTACAAGCCTGCAAAGCGGTACAAGTCAGTGGTGAAATGCAGGTGGGGTCATGTGCACGCACTGTCAAAAGCCATTTTCAGCAAAGAAACTCATCAGCACACGTCAGATGCATCGAGAATGGTAAAGAGCATCTACTTTATCCGAACAGAGTTGTTGGAATGTCGTGAATAGGTTTCCATGTAAAGAAACTTGGCTTAAAAAGGAGAATTAGAAGATATTTTTGAAAAAAAAGCAAAATAAAACTCAAGCTTGTGTTTTTTGGGAAGCAACCATAACCAGTGTGTAGTTCTTGACGAGCTCTGTATAGTAGTATGCTTACCCGTTTGGATTACTTGTGTTTCCACTTCAGAACAGGACTCAAAAGAAAATTTTTGCGTTCGAAGAATTATTGTCCGCGACATTGTGACGCGGCCATTTTCCGACTTTTTTCAGAAAAAGTTTTTTAAAATTTTTAGAATACATGTTCTTTCGAAAAATGCAAAGCGTAGATTGTAGATCTTGAAGAGTTCTATCACCGCATGCATTTAGTACATTTTTTTATCCTTGTTTTCCTTCTGAAATAGAGCGATGAAAAAGGGAGGGAGGCTTGTCCGCAACTTTTTGGCGGTCACTGTATGTTGAAATTTTCTTTCCTTTTGTTGCAATTCCCTTATGCCCATTCAAACTCTACAAGTGTGAAGAAAAGTGCGGCGTTGATATATTACTTTTCAGTCTCGGGCTTCAATAGTAATTGAATGTTTCAGCCTTGAATCTTTGTTTTTTTGCGGGCTGAAACGAAGAATAATTTCCGACAAATCTTTCCTCTTTTGAAGTCAAAATCGAAAGTAATCATTGAGGGTAACGTCATACACATAAATGCTTTCGAGTAAATCTCTGATACTAATTGCTGCACATGCTCTAATATCGACCAACAATTGATCACCTTCGATTGTCTGGCAACATCTTTTTTTATGCTTTTTTTTTCAACGCGTTAGTTCTCTGTATAGTTACCATTTGTGGAATACCAGCGAAATGAGTAGAAGGGTACTTATGTAAGAGTCGATTTTTCTTAGCTCTCTGTTCATTTGAACTGCACGTTCTTTGTCTCAGCTCAAGATTTTGGTGACCTTACATGTGAGAAAAATATTTGAAAGTAACATCACCAGGAGTATGCTTTCGATACGTAAAGTCGAGTCCTCTTGCATCTGATGTGTCACATGCGAATAACTTTTTGTATGCTAGAATTTTGTGGACACGCTTTTTTCAATCCTGCTCGTTTCTAACCTGTCGAGTTTGCTCCGATTTCCAACTTGTCGTCCAGATGTTCTCCAAACTATATCCCCTTTTTCATAGAAGGAAAAGCTGCGATGAGCACTAAGATTACCTTGGAGAGCAGGCAGAAGTTGCCAAGCAAAGTGCAAGATGTCATTTGCGATTCGGCTCTAATCATTCAACATGCAACAAGTGCATCAGGAAGCAGTGAGGTGCGCACGTACTTTAAAAATCTGTTTTTGACTGTGAAACTGGGAAAAGTTCAGATCACTGAGATTTCCTTTGCAGATGCTTATGTCCTCGATGAAGCAGTTTTGCGCGGCAGAACAGTCGATAGGAAATACTGCTTCAGTAAGGAATTTGACTTAGCTAGTTTCTAATGAAAGTTGCTAATTTCAGTCTCTCAATAAGATGGACGGATTATTGGACGCAATGTTGTTACAGTGTGACGATGTGGAGAATAAGTAAGGCTTTTATAGTCAAACATATACATCTAGGTATTATTGATTGACGGTGCCCGAACACCGAGCGCTGTTAGGCATAATCCCTCAAACAGCCACTTAAGCATGGAGCTTGAAAATAAATACAGTCCACTACCTTCGCGCTTTCTTTAATCCACTGACGATGACGCGATTTTCACTATTCTAGCATGGATTTATGATGATTTTTGTCATCACAGGTGACTGTTTTAAGTAATATTGATGCTGATGGAAGTCAGCATCAGTATTACTTAAAGAAAGTTTTTCGAGTTGTTTATTGAGAATCAACTCATGTGCAGGGGTATAGGAAAAGTATGAATATTGAGACGAATTTCTCTGAATAGTGCCGTGTGTACCCGTACTCAACGAGTTAGAAAATACAAAATATATAGAGGCAGTAATTGGTCTACAATATTTTTTTGAAGGAAACTGCGCATGTTTTGCTATCGAGGTCCGAATAGTCTGCTTACTCAAATCAAAATCATAAAGTGGACAAATGAATCTAGTGGCAATGTAAAGAATAGGAACTTTCTCTAGGCACTGCTCAAATGTAGGAGGGCATGGGAAACTTCGCATAACCCGCTTTGCAACAAAAAAAAACATTTGCCTAGTGGCAAAAACCAACTTCGGGGTCTTCTTTCACAGCAAAGATCCGTCCTCATATGCCTGTGTAAATGTCTAAGTTCCCCATTTTCTCAATCCTCCATTACTCTTAGCGACCACTGAGATTTGTTTTAAGCCATGGCCTCACCGTTGTCATACAGCTGAGAACTCAAATAAAAGAATTTATTAAGTCACTAGGTTTTTCTAAAACTGAGGCTAATACCCGGTCTGAAGGCTCTAACAAAGGTGTAACACGGTGTGACGCACGCATCTCTGAGTCATACAAACTAAATTCTCAAATTCTCAAGGTAAATGGCGGATCCGTTATTACAACCTAAATGCAACAATACAGTTATCAAGATAAACGAGTCACTTAAATAGAATACAAACTTAAGAAGAGCAGTAACCCTACACGTAATTCGAGCAGACGAATGTTGTACTTCAATGATATGAATGAACAGAGATCGTAATAATATGCACCTATTCGCTAATATATGCGCTGACTAAAGGTAGTCGCTTTGTTGAAGAACTGTACGGGTGTACATCTTCTTGACGAATCTATCTCGAGCAGCGAATGTATGATTTCACCTATTTCTTCATTTGTCGTTTCCGGCAGTTCTGGGGGGTCATATGCGTCATAGTTAGCGCCAGCTGTGTAAAGAAATAGTTTACACAAACAGCACTCGTCGAATGGTATCTGAAAGGTCAGATTTTATTCTTGTCGCCGGGGGATTTGCTAAATTTTGTTCTGACGTCTCATATATCAATCATGTATTTCATGAAGAGTAAAATGGTGTTGTGTGACTTTTTTCATTGCTAGAAACTGAGGACGGAAAGTGCGCGGGAGGGAAATGAGCGTTGACTGCAAATACTCGAAATCGCGTTTGAACGCGGAAGTCACCTGGCACTAAAAGTGCGATTTTCTCCAGTTATTCCTCAGTGTGACTGAATCAAATTTGTATAAATGAACTCTAATCCATATTAATCAATATGCTTTGGACAACCTTGGCCATCCCTTTAGAATGCGCATAACAATTCGAATTTCTAGCTTATCTTACCTCTCCAGTAACACACTGGTATAAAAGGCATCCTATGCTCCACATATCAACTTTTGAATCGTATTGACAGGTTTTTAGCAAATTTGCTCCTACTTCTGGGGCCATGTAAAATAAGGTGCCAGCAACATTACAGAGGTCGGGTGCTTCGGTATCTATGGTCCGAGCAATGCCTGAATATAAAATTAGTGATTTTGAGTGCTTTATTCATGTTGGAACACTTACCAAAGTCTGTAATCTTTGCGGACAAAAGTTGTTTGCTTTTCCCAACGTAGTTAATGAGGATATTTTGAGGTTTGATGTCGCGATGGACAATTTTCAAATCGTATAGATCCTTGTAACCACGGGCAATATTATCGATGAGAAGTCTAAAAACTAGAAATACTCGTGGAAAAAAGTGTTGTCAAGAAAATTCTTACCGAAGGTTTGCATCGTTGAGACGTCCATCGTTGGAATTGTTTTTTATGTGGAATTCAAGGTCGCCATCGCAGAACTCCATTATAAGACAGCATGTGGCGTCATCTAACATACAAATATCCAATACGCCAACTAAATATGCGCTTTTCAAGGACCTGAAAAGAAGTATTTAAATAGATCACCTCTGAGGGATAATGGTATTAAATTTGCTTACCTAATTACTTTGAGTTCGTTTTCTTTCACATGCACCCTCGACATTTTTTTGATTGCCACCTAAAAGAGGTTAGATTTAAAATTCAATAGCATTTATGCTATACAGTTGCTGAAGCGAAAAGGTTCATTTTTGCATATGAACTGGTCCTAGACTCACTTGCTTATTTTCTTCCTCATTGAAGCCCTTGTAAACTACTCCAAAAGATCCCAATCCAATTAGAGAAGTGAATGAATCGTGATAGGTGTACCCATTTGAGAGATGTACAGTATCATTCGTGAACTCGGGCAAAGGCATAGCATTTGATCCTCGAGGAGTGTTACTGCATGTTTGAACCATCTGCAATGTACATTAAATTGAATGCCAAAGAAACATGCGCATGAAACATGACGTGATCGTCTAGTTGAGAATATTCAGTAAAAGAATGGACAGTTCTGAGCTGATAGTATGTCTCGACGGTGAAAAATATGCGCTGTGCGAATGAGATCCTTGTTTGGATAGTGTGAATAGCATAGACGCATATATGAGACTGCTTAATATTCATAGCGGCACCGAGACATTTCAAGAACACATCTGCTCGAATGTCGCGCCAGCACGTTGTGCTCTGGCCGAAAAGAGCAAAAGAGCTTTCCGGCTGTGAGTGACGTATGCGAGGTAAAAAAAAAGATCGATTCGCTCGCGGACCGCCTTTGCTAATGCGTAGTGACGTGAAATCAGGCAGGGAGATGATGAGCAGCTGTCATGTAGTGCTTTTTACTTCATGCGACGTTGTCGTTGCTCTTTGAGTAAGGCACTAACGTCATGACTCAATCTTCGACGAAAAAACGTCTCATTTTTCGTTTCTATGACTCTCTAGCGGGAAGAGCGGTGCTAAGCACTTCCTTGTATGTAATCGTTCGTACACAGAATTGCATCTGCTATCCGAACGAAGTAAGCTCAGTTGGCGAAAGTAGCAGGGAGTGAAACCTAGTATGTTCAAAGCAGTCAACACCTCAACAAAGGCGAAGCGAGCATTGGTACAAAATGTAGCTAAAACTGCATGCGGACTAATTATTTGTAGCCTTTTCAAATGGGATTTCAGCTGGCAACTGAAAACGGAACCAAAGGAAGAGAACTGCTCGAAATCACTTTCAGAAAGGATGAAAGAAGCTCAAAGGGCGGCACGGCCACGATTGCCGAAATGCTCTGCACTTGTGAATGCAGAGCTTTTCCACTCTTTCAGCAAGTGCATATGCGCTTATGTCCGTGAAATCAGCCCTTACCCACGTCATCATCCGAAAAGAAGGGCATGTAAATGTTGAAGCACAGTAAATGTTTGTTTTCGTTGCCGTCGGCTGAGGAATAGAGGGAAATCATTGCTCTCAGCGAACTCAAACATGCTAGTCAAAAGCGATGACGAGCAAACAGCTGGCTTTGCAAGCGTCAGAAAAAAAATGCTGCAGGGCAAATTTATGTCCTATGTCCGACGGGCTATATGATGTGCTCGTGAAGAGAGCATGATGTTCAGCGAAAACAATTATGTGAGAATCTGAGTTTATGGTCTAATGCATTTTGTGTACTATCAAGTACTATCTAGCCTGGATGCTTCCAAGCCTGAAATTGCGAATTGTCGCATTAAGATTGTAATACGGGAAGTCGAGCAACAGCTATGCTTGTCGGCAATAATCTCGTTAATTTGGCGCGGAGAGCGGCAGTTATATGAACACAAAGGGGCGGGTGATATATAAAAAGTCTAATCTGGTTGGACTCCCTAGAACAACGATAAATCAGTTACGTAAGTTCGCATTTTTTATGTTCAAATAGGATGGCGTAGCTTAGAGAGAAGACAGAAAAGCAGTGCGCGCAATCAATGCCTTGAGGGCTGCTGGGGCGGTTGCATTCGTACGAGTCAACTGATTTCATTCGTCTCCTAACTTTGCCGCGTGCGAATAAAGTAAAGAAAAGTGGACTTGCTGTGTTAGCACAGTGTGCGTTTGTGGCGGAAGTTACGAAGACAGCGATAACATTTCCTCTCGTTCGACATTTGGATGTTTGGACAAGGCGATCGTGGCGATAAGGCCGAAGTTTTGTGACTCTGACAGATGAGAAATCAAATAATCAAATACGACTTAGTGTTTGAATGGCTTTTGCCCTTGGTCTAAATTCGGTTAACAAGGATGAGTCATGAAGCACAACATCTTATGCTCATGAACTCGGCGGACTGCTAGAAGAGTAATAACCTATTTAGACGAATCGGATTTTGGTTTGTGGGTAATGACATTGAAGCCTCTCTATGTTTTTCAGTTGCCAGTGTTAAGAGAACACTATCTTGCATTTCAGAAGCTTCTCTTAATCCTGTTGAAAGGTTGCAATACGGGAAAGTTCCCGCCGCGGGGCTAATCGCATAAGTCCGAAGGGCAAGACATCTGTAGGCTTAGACAAATTGTTTGCTCAACAAATCTTTCATAGCGAAACGCGCAAAAGGTCAAATGCAATGGTCAGCTTTGTGCATCTCGGAGCCTACATTCACACTGTTCATTGTACGCTGTTTTTTCTATTAATGTCTCTAATTTAAGACTTGATTGCTGCTATCATTAGTTCATTATCACCATATGCTCGATAGCAGCAATTTTACGATCTGATCGTGCGAATGTTTGTCTACGATATGGTTGCTTACATTTTCTTTTCCCCTTCATTTCACTTCAACTACCCCTGCTCCCTCATGAATGTCTAACATGTCGCGGACATGTGTTCAGAAGTCGCTGTAGACGCAAACCACAGTAGTCAGGAATGCTGTAATTTGAAGTACTAGGATCTCTGCTAGTTTGAACACACCACATGTCCATGAAAGAAGTTTACTGATCAAAGAGAAACTACGTAGCATTGGCAAAAAATGAGAAAGTGCAGAATTTGTCGCTATCAGTGCGTTACGTGTGACAATAGCCCTAATTCTGGATTATTCAAGTATTGTTCGTATGAGGGGCACAGTTTCTACTGAATGATGACTGTACATTTAACGAGGCTAGGTGGCCGAACTCCATAGTAACATAGGTAGTAAGTGTACTTAACGCATCCATTATTATTCCAAGTGCCGTAAATCAAGTACTACATGTATGTAGTCTCTGAAATTGGATTAAGTGAACGCATAAAACACAATTGCTGTTCCTTGCTTGACCTTTTTCCGTTGTTGACACTCTTGCCTCATGCATAATCCAAATGTCATTTATTCAGAATTGGCGTTGTCTCAGATGCATTGGAAACACTTCAAACTATCGAACGAAGTAAGTATTTCACTGAAGAAGGAACTCGTCCTAACTGTGAATCCGACGTCGACAGCAATCCCTAAGCTTGACGTTATCTGTGAAGATCTGGTTGTGAACATGAGATGTTTTGTATATATGTCATATTCTGTGATGTCCCTTATGAGAATGTTGTAAGCCAGTGATCCACTTCTAACTCAACATCTTTCCAAGAGGGCTGTTTTGCTGTTGGAAACTCCTTCACCCTCGTTTACGGCAAACACTTTCCCTCGCGTGAAGATGCTGGGATGTTGAGCAGTTGTTGTGCCATCCGCTCCATAGAGTTCATACCCACACAAAGTGCTCTAGGCTCTTCGTCGCCACAAATGCCCGAAAGCTGACTAGGGATGATTTCTTGGAGTATTGATTTCTTGGTAGTTTAGTGTTGGATTCTTGGTTTGAAGTCTGATGCACTAAGTTTATGCAACCATTCAGTGGTGCCTAGGCGCTTAACGTTAGAAGCCATTCGGCAAAAGTGGCAGAATCTCCTCGTGAAAATTGTGAAGGCTAAATCTAAAGTTATCATATGTCAGCATAATTCTCTTTTCAGCGCTTTGCCAAGTCCATATCAAATCATGAAATAAAAACGTGTTATGTTGTCTTTGTTGGTTTCTCTTTGAAGAAGATGGTTCTCATGGATGTATGCAAGGTGTGATTTTGCGCAGTCGATCTGTCCATGGCGCGCAAGCAAACTGTGAGCAAGGCTTTGATGCTTTGACGAATTTGTCGAATTATGAGCTGGTACATCACAAAGCCGTAAAACAGGGATTTGAAAGAGCTTGTTTCAGTTATGAAGATAACAGACCGAGAACCTTTAAGAGTGATTTTAGAAGCATTTTTCCCAGTAGAATCATATTCGGCAGATGATAAAATCAGATGTTTAGCTATGAAGCAACGTTGTATGGTATTTTGAAAGAACAATCCGCGCCTTGCGACTTGTCCAATTCAGCGCTCGCATGTACTTCCAACCAGGGAAGGCCCTTGGTCGAAGTGGCCATATGGGAAGTGATGCATATGGGTAGACAGTTCTTCGAACGGTGATCTCAAAACAGTCTTCGCTATCTGTGGAGCGTTGCCGTAGAAGGAGTTACGAGCCTTTGTCTTCCCCAAGAACGGCCTTCCCTCTATCAAAGCGCGACAAGACAATTCCCATTGTGGGGGTGTGGTGTGGTGGTGAGTGAGTCGGTTTAGGTTTAACAATAGTCAGCTAATCTCAACAAACTCAGTGTCTTCTTCAGATCAAGAGCTGAATGTATCGGAAGTAGAAGACACTACATCACAGTCTGCTGGCATATCTTACTATCTTCCAGAATTGGATTCCCCTTTTGAAGGCCAGCGAGCCTACTGGCGGAGGCTAGCTGACTATATCCCCACTAAGAGACGTGTGAAACTCTGAAAGGACAGCAAAACATACGCATGACTAAACTGATAAGAACTGTCAACAATGCGCATATATTTAGAGCTGAAGTTCTAATTAAAAGAAAGAAACACGAAGACACAAGAAATGAAACACTGTTGGTGAATGATAAGAAACAACACGTCAGGACATCATGAAGTGAAAATTCAATGATGACAACCACGTCCCAACACACTGTTCATATTCAAGCTGTTGTAACGCCAACGGACCGAGAATGAATGTGAAAGCCGGATCTGGAAGGAAATTGGTGAATTGCTAGAAATCAGTCTCTTGAATTGATAAGATACTGCAAATCTACTTTCCTCAGTTTTGTCTTAAAACTTGAACTACTGATAGAGCGAAGAACACCTGGTGGCAGACGTTGCAACCATCTTGCTCCACGAAAGAACAGGCTGTTGAAGGCTAACAAAAACTTTCTACGGCCTATTCTAGGGTAATGGAGATTGAAAGAGAATGAGCGTTGACTAGCCGGCATAAATACCCAGTGTTTGCTTGCTGAGAGGTTTACTTCTTTGCGCAGTACACGGAAACAAAAGATAAGATCAGCTATCATTATTATTATCAGCTATTATTGCTTGCATTTGCAAATGCCACATATACAGGGTGTCCCAAAAAAATGTATCGAAGTTTGATCGTTAATATCTCTCTTCCCAAGAAGTCTTTTGCCTTGCTTCAGGTACCGTTCAGTAGAGCTGGCTTCAACTTAGATTTGCGTTGTAGAACGAATCACCCATCTCTCTTCATTACTGTAGGATTACGGTAGAAACTTGAAACATATAGTATCAATGTGGAGATAGCTGCCGTTTCAAAATTTTAAAAAAATGTGAAAACTTGTGTATTGGGGTTTTTATGGATGCTAAGTTCAACACTCAACTATTCACAAGAGCACCAAGCTTTCTAAACGGTGTAACCGCACTTTTTAGGAACATTGAAAAAATGGCCGCTACCTCTTACTTGGCATAACTCTTCAATGAAGGATCATAATAAATTGGGAACTATACAGTTATAATCAGCAACTCTAATTAGCCTAGTGTAAAAGTTTTCAGGCTGTTTTGTTTCCTTTCTGGGGCAAAATATGGCCTTTCATTGCTTTAAACCCTCTTTGAAGTTTCTACCGTAATCCTACAGTAATGAAGAGAGATGAGTGATTCGTTCTATAATGGTAATCTAAGTTGAAGCCAGCTCTACAGGGTACCTGAAGCAAGGGAAAAGACTACTTTAGGTAAGAGATATTAACGATCAAACGTTCGATACATTTTTTTTGGGACACCCTGTATATAGGCGATTCATAGCACGCAAAGACTGCGGACATATCGGCGTCTTCGTGACTGAGCACTCTCTCGTTCCTCTTACCGTCTGCTGTCTCTCCTATGCACAAACTATCTTCATCGGACGCAACGGCGCCCAGTCATTGCGTGGCATGAATCGACAATACAGTCTATCGTAAATCTCGCCACATGATCATCCTATATTTGGAGAATGTAAGATTGCTTTAGAGATGAAGTTTGTTGTAACAGCTATTACAGATATATATATATATATATATATATATATATATATATATATATATATATATATATGAACTTTAAGCGAAACTGTGAGCAGATATAGTAATCAGTCACCATGTGTTCGGAGCAAAAATGCTTTTCACAGTGTGCGCATTCAATAATTGATCACTTGTAGCGGGATTCACGATAAAGTGTTCATATGTGGCATTTTCGAAAGCAAGCAATAATTATAGGAAATGCAAAACTGCTGGGCGACAAACAGGAGTTGAATCCTGGTCCAGGACTACCTCTTAACCGCAGCCGCTCACCACTACATCATGCTGCCACAACGGAGATGCCTTGCCGCGCCTTGATAGAGGAAACGCCCTTTTTGAGAGAAACAAAGGCTTATAATCCCTTCTGCAGAAACGCCGCAGATAGCGAAGACTGTTTTGAGATCACCGTACGAAGAGCTGTCTATAGGCCGTCCGCACGGGGCGCGGAGTGTGCGCAAGGTGTGTACTGCGCGTCATTTGTCTTTCCTCGTGCACTCTCGCCGCCTGTTTTTCTCTGCGCTTCTCCAGTCGTGAACCGCCTTCAATGTACGCAACAGCGTTGCTCTGCTTGCTCAGCGCGGACGGCCTATACCCATATGCATCATTCCCCATATGGCCACTGCGACCAAAGTGCCTTCCCTGGTACAGTCGGTTCCATCCAGGGTCAAGCAAGGGGTGTGGCACACGATCGCTGGTTACGACCCCCCCCCCTGATTGCTGTCTTAATAAGACCCCCCCCTGGACTATACCCTTAAGATAGCATTACTTGGAGGCCCTGTCAAACATAATGGGCAACATATCCATAATGAGCATGTCAATTAACCCCTGTAGACAAAGTTTGAGCGAATTCTGAAGATTCAAGATACTAGGCTACCTAAGTGAAATGGTCAAATTCCAACATGGTTAACTTTGTTTCAAAGGTGAATTAGCTATCCGTTTTCGCACTCAAGACAAAGCACTACTCCTTCTTTGTCCACCTCAGGAATCCCGCTTCAGAAGACCTCCAAACTGTGGAATTAGAAGCCAACCAAAATCTCGTTTTTCCCGTTTTTCGCTTTTAATCGCTGTGCTTTCACCAAATATTACTCAGAGCTAAGAAGACGAATCAGGCTCAAATCACTCCTGTGAAAACTAGGTGATCTAGGCTATCGATCCATACAAATACTGTCCGCTAAAAATGTTTTTTTGATATAGTTAATGGCCTGCGGCACCCCCCCCCCTCAAAACCTGCGGCAGCCGCAGGTTTTGAAGGGGGGTGCCGCAGGCCATTAACTATATCAAAAAAACATTTTTAGCGGAGAATATTTATATGAATCAATAGCCTAAACCTCGTAGATTCCATAGGGATGTTTTGAGCCTGATTCGTCTTCTTAGCACTGGGTAATATTTGGTGAAAGCACAGCGATTAAAAGCGAAAAATGGGAAAAACGGGATTTTGGTTGGCTTCTAATTCCACAGTTTGGAGGTCTTCTGAAGCGGGATTCCTGAGGTGGACAAAGAAGGAGTAGTGCCTTGTATTGAGTGCAAGAAGAGGTAGCTTACTCACCGTTAAGATGAAGTTAATCATGTTTTAAATTACTGCTTTATACAAGGTTGTTTACTGCTCGGAGACCTCAGAGTTCGCTGAAACTTGGCGCATAGGGGTTATTCGACACGCAGATTACGACAATTATGCTTGATTAGAGGTACGGTAGGTTACGGTAGGCATACGGTATCGGCAAGTTTGTGTCGTTGAACTTGAATTTTGCAGGATTTCAACAGCGCTTTCATCAAGTCAATTTAGTCACACAGCTTGTACAAGTGCTTTTGACCTTGGGTCGATACGACCCCCCCTACCTACCCCCCCCCCTAACGACCCCCCCCCCCCTGCGGCGTGCCGCACCCTCCACTTTACCCTGGTTCCATCCCGGATTAGGCAAGACAGTCTACGTGGAGCAGCGCATGCGCATCGCTGGAGGCTTCGCGAGCGCACAGCGCTGGCATTTTGCCAAGCAAAGACTGAGGAGATTGAAGAGACGTAGACATGGGTTCTCACCACGATAGGATATACTGTAGCTGCGAAACGGGGCGAGCTGTTGCGAGGCGGACTCCCGCCAATCCAATTTCCGCCTAAAGCGGGTCGAAACTTACTGTAAGTTAGGAAATAATCTGTAGATTTTCGAGCTACGCAAGTCCTGGTTCCTACATGTATGTAGCTAAGGTTCTCCGAAGGCTCTTGAAAGTATGCTTTGTTCCAGTATCAACGTATAAGCAAAGTTTGGATTTTATATGTTGGTGGTCAACGGTAATCCATGCATTTCCAGTCGTTAGTTGATCTGCTGTGTACTGTGCGTACATTCAATCGTAGTTGCGAAACGCAAAAATCTATACCCCCATTTAGAGAACACTGCTCACTTCCTCTCATTCTATCCCTTTCGTGAAAATACTGTAAGTTGCCGAATTGGAACGATTGAGTCCTTTTTAGCTTCAAAGCAAATGATGGTGGGCAAAGTCAGTCACAAACAATTCTAGCCAGTCTATCCATCCGAGCGAAAAGAGATCACAGATTTTTTGGCTAACCCGCGTGACTGACAATACATTGTCGAGATGAGAAGGAAATCAAAGAAGCAATCACCAACATCCTGGTCAACTT